GAGTTCAGAAAACCCTTCGAAACAGGGCTTGACACACACACACACACCGGAAGTGAAAGCAATCAGTGGAGCAGGAACAAAAGCCCTAGCCTAGTTGCAGGGAGTGATCGCTAGATTGTACATTCTAGATCTACCTGTCCATGTTCTTTTTTCACGGCGACAAACTCTGGAGGCCTTCTTTGCTTGGCATCTGCTCCTGGTGGCTGGCAGCACAATCCATCCATTTGCACCGATGATGGCCCAGCTCCAGGGGCAAATTGGCTGCGCAGATGACGGTCTGCCATTTAAGTAAGTCTTAATGCTGTAAGTATCATCAAGCGTCCAAGCTGCGCAACATATCATTTTGCATTTGCCCAGGTGTGCTTTTGGCAAGGAGGTGCGCTTTTCTTGGGAATTGCTTCGAAGTGAAAGGGCCACACACTGCAAGTGGCGCATTGTGTTTGCTAGCTTGCTGATGAGCCCGAGTGAGGAATCCGTGGTGTGTGATTGTTTTGCATGATTTTGGTGTGTTGTTCGACCTATTCTTTGGGCCAAGGCGGCAGGAAGGTCGGCTGAAGCCTTGCACTTTCATCATTTCGAGCTACCAAGCTAGCCAGCCAACCAGCCCAAAACCATTTGACGCAAGCTGCAGCCAGACAGCACATGACAGCACCCAACCTGGCGCCCGCGACCTTCGACCATTAAACCAGGGAGGAGTCAGCCAAGTATTCATGTTTTCATAATTGTTTTAAACATACATTATATATATACAAATATATTATATAACTAACATTCCTTGGGAGTTTCCTTCAGGCCACTGACACCTACCAACCTTTTCAAATTGCTCATTATGGTATTTTATTTATGGTTATATAAAGGAGCACATGGCAGAGCGGTGAAGACAGAACGGCCTTGGTGGCGAAAAGACAGGTGTCTACTTCTCAAATGTGAGACTTATCGGAGGTTTGGAAGTCAGAGCGAGAACAACCCCTGCAGACGCGGAGTCTCTCAGAGAGGTCACAGATTGCTGGAGCTGAAGCCGCTCACATGAAGTCACAAATCGTAGCGGTAGCACTTGCAAAACACTAGCTTCTGAAGCGCTGGCAGTGGTATGAATGACAACCCCAGTTCTGTTGAGTAAAACTTGCACATGCAAAATCCTGCAAAGACTTATAAATATAAACAAATTGTCGGTTGGCTGATCGAGGTGCTTGGCTGGCCGGCTCATTCCTCAACCCAAAGTAGCACGCCAGCCCCCGAACCCCTCAGCTCCAAACCCTTCCAGTTCTGTCCCTCTGGAGGAGGTGCTGCTGCGCGGTGCAGCGGTGGCATGGGCCAGTTTCCATCCACAGTTGCGCGGAGAATTTGTCCTTGCCGAGAGCGAAAGGCCAGCCCACTGGGTCCACGATCTCCTTACATTCGGATCCCAAATGTGGTAGGACAACTCCGCTTTCCTTGGAAAAGCTCAGCTTTGCACGACGGACAGCCTGAGGAGCAGGAGGAGAGCGCCAGTGCCTTTATGTCCAACTTTAATATTGCAGCCATTTGTCAGCATGAGTTGAAAGAAGGTGAGATGGACGACGTCAAACAGTAACTGAGTAACAGTAACATTGACATACAGTATATATAATACCCGTTTAAAGGGAACGAGTAACATTGGTTGAAACGAGTTGTATCCCGGATAGAGGCACAAGTTGGAAGATGGAGACAGGGTCACAACATATATACAACATATAATGATATTTGTGACTGGAGGATGCGCGGATCTTACCTTGTATTTAAAAGCATGTTTTACCCTGCAGCACATCCTTGCTTATCCAAGGCGATCACCGCGACAACAAAAGTTGGACATCGCGAGCCACTGAAGATCCCAGTTGAGACGCCTGTCTGAACATGTTGGAACTCTTTGCGCACATGTCTGGGGGCGGTCAGCAAGATCGAGCGGAAGTGAGGGGCAGACCATATCCCGCACTTTCCAGGCTGCATGCCTGGCAAATGCCGAACGTGGAACAGGCGAGTTCGGAGAAGTCCTTGTTTACAGTGAACATCCACAAGACCACTGCACACTTCCGAGCTTGGAAGGCCTCCCACCAGTTCCCGACTTCGCGGGCGCGGGCGTCAACGCAGCTGCGCGCTGGACTTGCTTGCGGAAGCTCTTCAGGCTTTCAGGGCCTCTTTGCATTTCAATTGAAGAATTCTTCGACCGACTGGGACTGGGCCTTAGAGATATATAGCTGCACCCGGGAGAGATGTTTTTTCCTTCAAGTGGAGTAAGTTTTGGGGATTAACTCGAAAACATTCAAAAACGAGTTCAGGGCCTCTGCGCGTGCATCTCGCCAAAAACCATTTCGAAGGGAAGAAGAGACCTCCCAGCTACTTCCAAGGTAGAAGCAGCCTTAAACCCCTGCATCTAAAGAGCTAAAAGATTGGCCTGCACTGGAAGTGCAACGTGTTGCACAACTCCCCATACAGCTTTGAAGTTCTGTCGTGGCCTAATTAGAGGGTACAGCATGCATTTCCTTGAGCAAGCTTCTTTGGAGTTGAAACAGGATGAAACAGGTATATAATCATCCACCAAACGCTACCAAACATGACCCAACAAGATGATGGATTAAAGGATGCGTTGACGCACCCAACCAAAAAGTGATGACAACTTACGTCCCACACCCTCAATGTTTGACAAGGCAGTTTTGGTGATTAGAGTTGTTGTGGCTGTCCAGCCATCCGGTTATAATTCTTGCACTCCCTACCTCTAATGGCTGTTCTTTTTGCAGCATGGTAAGGGGCTCATATATTGGGACCGTTTTTTGACAAGTGTCCCTCCAACACCTGAGCACGCAATATTTTGCAGCGGATGATTTTTTGGGCGCACCCGAGGAGAAAAAACCAAAGCAGTGTTCAGGGTTCCGGTTGTATATATATATATATATACAGGATTATTTCTGCCTCTCTTCTGAGAGGCCTAGCCTGGAGATTCTTCATGCAGCTGCAGCGCTGAGATGTGCTCAGACCTGTTGAACTTTCCGCTGGGTGAGTCAGAAAGATGTGAGAGAAGTTTGCTGCTTGTGAACTTGTGGTGTTGCTCTAATTGACCCTGCCACGGCAGCTGTGGAAACTGAGTGTTTCGACCCCAGGTCCCAGACTGAAGAGCGACATACTCGATCCAGCAGAGTGCTCAGTACAACCAAGTGATACGTGTGCTGTCTTTGGTGTTTGGGTCGGTAGGTGTGTTGGCATGTCGGCAGGCACACGAGATGTGCCACAAAATGGTGCACTATGCCGACAGCATGAGGTCCTTCACTGAAGTTGTTTCCAGGGCCAATGGCAGTGGAAACACCAAGTTTTCAAGCTGTGGCGTTGCCTGGCAATGCTTGCCCTGAGGACATCCATAATGAGGACCCCACAAGATGAAAGATGAGTTTCCTTGGCCATGTTGGCCTTTTAATTGTTGCGCCGAGTGCTACTTGCCGTTGCATAAACTTTATCCAGTTTAGAAGAGGCATTGCGCATTGCTAGCTATGTTATGCTGCGCTGCAGTTTGCACGTATGCACCTTGCATGCTACTGAACTGGGTGCCTTTTGTAGGAGGACGAGGCTGGTGCTGTTCAAGGACCAGGCTTTGTCAGCCACGACGTGGAGGCAGAAATGGTTGCAGGTGTGTTTCCACACACTTTTTACTTTTCTGGGTTTGTTAACTTAAGAAACACGTTTCACACGAACTGAACATCACGGTTGATGGGCCTAGGCCTGTTTCAAAGACGACAGTGCTTGTAGTACTTTTGTGCTTGCCAGACCCCTTTATTCTAGAAGTTGATCATCTTGAACAAATATGCAAAACAAAAGCAACAAAAGCAATCACAAAATGCAGCCAGAAAAACAAACAGCAATCATAAAGGCAAGAAAAGAGCAAAAAGAAGCAATGCCAAAATGCAGCTAGAACAACCAAAGCAATAATAAAAGCAACAAAAAAGCAAACAAAATTGCAAGCAAATATGGAACAACATGGCACGTTTGTAACAAACAAGAAATACACTTGCAACAAACAGCGTGACAACCAGTTCACAAAAGGAGTTACCTGGTAAGTACTTACAAAGCAAGCCAAGATGGAAAAAAATACAACTACTGCTACTGTACATGCGAGCGACTGGGCGACTAACTGTACACCCCTCCAAAAAAGCTCTGGGGTGGCTGACATCTACATGGTCCCTGAGGTTTCTGCACTCAGCCGGGCTTTCTGGTGCACTTTCTGGCGCACTTTTTGGAATGGTCCACTTTCTGGTGCATTTTTTGGAAGGTCCACTTTCTGGTGCACTTTTGGTCGCTTTTTGTGTTTTTGTTATTTTTGTTTATAATTGTTTAAAGATTTGTTTTCAGTTTTTTTTTTGGCTTCTGTGTGCGCAAAGAAAGCGAAAAAAGCGACCAAAAGTGCGACACTTGACCCTGCGCCAGAAAACCAGTCAGCTGGGCTTCGGGGATGAAAGACCCTTGTCTTCCTCACCCTACCCGGCCTCCTCGTCAAGCTGGGCTCCAACGCGTTGAATATTGAATCTGCAGTTAGTCTGCAGAGGCCCTTGCTAGGGACTGGTAGTGCGGGTAGTAGCATTGCCTCTATTGACCTTTTGGCTTGACCACGTTAAAGAGTGCTTTAAGTGTGTGTGTTTTCTGTTTTCTTGGTTGTTATCTTTTTTTGCTTGTTTGGTTGCACTTTCCTTTGTTTTTTTTGCTTTCTGCTTTCTTGGTTGCTCTTTGTTTTGCTTGTGTTTTTTTTTGTTATTTTTTCAAGACCGGCGGTTTCTAGAATAGAGCCACCTCTGGTGGACACAAAAGTACATGTTATTGATATGCAGTTGGTTGGCTCAACCCGTTTGCTGTCCAATGAGGCAGCTGCACCATGAGCCAACGCATCCTGGTGACAGGAGGAAATACCGGAATCGGCTTTGCATTGTGCAAGCAGCTAACTTATGACCATGGTTGCCACGTCTATTTGGGTGCTCGATCGGTGGAAAAGGGTACAGCAGCTGTGAAGGCCATTATGGATGGCCTGCCGGGCTCTTGCAAGGGCAAATGTGAACTGGTACAGTTGGACACTTCTTCTGATGCTTCTGTAGCTTCTGCTGTAGCTGCAGTGAAGGGTAGTCTTGATGCCGAGGGCTCCAAGGGCTCACAGTTGTACGCAATTGTGAACAATGCGGCCACTGGCGTCAGCCATGGTGTTGGTCCAGATGAGATCTTGAACACCAATGTTTGCGGACCCAAGAGAGTGGTCGAAGGCTTTCTGCCTCTTCTGGAGAAGTTTGGGCGCATTGTGAATGTGGGGTCCGGCGCTGGGCCCATGTATGTGGCTAAGTGTTCTCCTGAGGTGAGGAAGACCCTTTGCAGTTCGGAGGTGACTTGGGAACAGATTTTAGAGCATATGAAGTCGGGCTTGGGCTCCGCAGCTGATAGCATGGGCGGCTATGGGCTTTCCAAAGCGCTGCTCCAATGCTACACCATGCTGCTGGCCAGGCAGCATCCAGAGCTTCTGGTGAGTTGCTGTGATCCGGGCTTCATCGACACAGCCATGACCAAAGGCTTAGGAGCCTCCAAGTCTCCAGAGCAGGGCACCGTGTCTGTCAGACATTGCCTCTTTCAGAAGTTGGATGGAAATGGATGGCACTATGGCCCGGATGGGGTGCGATCTCCGCTTCACTTCCTGCGGCATCGAGGTGAGCCGGCCTACAATGGCGAACCGGTCGACTGAGCAAGAGCTCATCAGTTTTCCACCTGAATCCTGAATCTTCAAAAGCATGGCACATCAGATTGCGAAAAGAAACAACCAAAATCGATCAAAATCGTCACCTGTGGGCCAGAAAAACTGAACAACTGCATTAGAGTGCCGTGGCCTGCCCCTCTCGAAAAGATAGGAGAGAGAGAGAGAGAAGAACTTGTTGTTTCATGTTGTTTCTTGTGTCCATGCTATTTTAGCTCTCCCTGCCTCCCTCCCTTGATCCCTCCCTCTCCCCGCTAGCAGCACTAGCAGCTATGCGTTCCGAATCCGGAAGCGCACTATGCAAAGGATGCCAACAAGAAGTAGAATTCCATATGTGTGAATTCCGCATACTATCAGTTTGAAGGATGATAATGTAATGGAAAGCGCCAGGTTCCACTGCTTCCACAGCACCCCCGTGACATTAAGTTCCAAGTGGGTGCTCTGGCGCAGCTGGCTCAGCGATGAGACTGTTCTAAGCACTCAATCAATGATACCACTGCAGGTGCACTGCACATTCCCAAAAGCCAGATTCGGAGGCGGTTGGCCATACCAATAATGCATGTGAGATGCTTGTCAGATCTGCGCATGTCCATGATTTTTCATTCATTTTCATGTTGACGCAGATGTCTGCGTGCCAACTGGCCCATTTGGCGGCCTGCTGGGGTGTCAACTCAGTGACAGCAGCATGCATAGAGTCGTAACTCGCTTCTTAAAAGTGTCGTCTAAAATAGCAGCCGCACGATGCTATCTCATGTTGTGAATTCCACAGAGATATTGAGGCCATGTACTCACACACTGAGGTTTTTGGATGTCGTGGACTCTGGGGATGTTCAGCTTTATTGGCCGTAGAGCTGCCTGGTTGCACCGAGCCAGCACCCAGCGAGCTGGTTGCGGTGATTGGTCTTTAAATGTCTTGAGGCCTTCAAGAAGTCAGGACCTGGATTACAACGAAGCTGCTTTGCTACTCTGCTATGGCACTGATGGCATTCTTTTGCACTTGCTATGATTGAGTCGCTGGTTTCCATGATTGCTCGCACTTCTCAGCTCAAGCCGCTGGCCGCAGCCAAAGTGCTGTGGGGATAAAGCAAGGCAGCCGGAAGACCGAGGAAAAGCACATCTCAAGTCCAGAGTCTAATTGTACACTTGAGATCACTTTACCAGCTAAAGCACTCATTATAGTTATTCATTCAGATGCTGAGCAGATCTGTAGCAACATCGGCTATTCAGAAGATGGCAAGTTTTCAAAGAACTTCTCAATCCCTCACTCTTGGTGCCGCTTTGTGTGCTTCTAAGATAGGTCTTTCGAAGACGTGCCAGCTGGGTTACATGGGATCATTTTGACACTCTAAAACCGGCCTGCTGTCATGAGCGACAGGCAAGTTTTAGCTGCCATTGGCATGAAAACTGGTGGAGACTGTCGATACTTTGAGCTTGTCCACCTGACATGCGGTGACTTGAGACGAAAGTGCTTTGCTTGTGTGGGGAAGCACTCCTTATTTTTCCTCAGGCAAGATCTCAATGGCCCACTTCATGATGATGCTGATGTTTACTACAGCCTGATTGCACGAATTATTCAGGACGAAAACTCGGATCAACATTGCTTGCTGACCATGACGGAGGAACTTCCAAATTGGAATTCAGATCGGCTTTTCATCAAGGCCGAGAATCGAAGCCTTTTCTTGCGACATTTGCGATGCAATTGGCAGACTGACCACATGTGGCGACTGGGTCGGGTGGTGGTCTTTCCACTGAGCAGCCACCCAATAACAAAGGAGCGTAGTTTTGACAACTATGTTTTGCCGTATCAAGGTTATCGCTGGACAAAATTTCAAGGATACCGTTTCATGCTGCCAGAGCGTTTCTCAGACCAAGCCAATTCGATTCAAGATTCAGAGACTGGTGAGTACGTGGACGAGCACGGTATCAGCTTAGTGGTGCATGTGCACGAAGCATTCAGTTTAGAGCAGCTTGCGCAAATCTACAGAGACAACATCCGTTGGGTGGCTGCCGATTACAAGACACAACTTTGCTCCGAAGAGAAGCAATTCTATGTCATAAAGAATTGCAGTCGTGACAAGCGCATGAATCTCGCTGCTGATGTAGCTCAGTGGCATCAGTGGGAGCTCATCATCCGAACAAGACAGGCAACGATCCTTTGCTTGGTGATGAGGCGACAGTACATACCACCTGCCTGCTGCAATGCCCAAGACATTGCGGTGCTTTTGCGCTGTCCTGAAGAACATTGGACAGATAGAGAGACCAGTTTGCTACTGGAAGCATACCTGATAGCAGACTCCCTATGTACGGACTCTCCTAACGTGTCTGTTTATCGGGATGTGGTGCAGGCGAAACTTGATGCACTGAGATTTGATGAAGAGGGCACGGAGTGGATAGCAACGCATTTGAAGCTCAAGACATGTTGGGAAGTTGAAGCGGTGCGGCTTGTGAAGAGTATTTGGAAGCTGTACTGTGATGACAAAGTCGAGGGATATGACCCAAAGGTTCTAGAGATGTCCCCGCAGGAAGTGCTCATGGATTCAGGTAATGCCGAAGAATGGGCAGAGCTAGAGTGCATTGACAACTTTCAGACTTTCTTCACCGACATGTTGACTCGTGGGGAGGGCCTTCCGTTGAGTGGTACGCAAGCAGATGCCCTGGATGAGGACACCAAGCTGCGAATTCAGCACAGCTGGCATGCCAGGGTCGCGCGCTATTTTGCCTGGGCAGTGGATGGCGGACTTTTGGGAGCCAGGTTCAACTTGGAACTGATGATCGAAGGACGGGTCCACGCGTTGGGTGAGAGGGCATAGGGGCCAAGGGCCGGGCGCCCTACGGTACATCAGCTTTTGTATATATATATAACGCTGAAAATTGGGCCGCAACAAGAGGTTGAGTCCAAAGATGGCATATGATCTCTAGATCCCCTTCACATAGCTGCAAGTCAATGGAAAGCCAAGGCCAAAGCCATCCAGAATCGAAGTGAACAACGCCCACTAGACTCTATATAGACAATTCCTTTTCTTAAATTGTGTTTTAGGGTTAGTTTCTTGCGTGTTCACCTGGCCATTACTTAGAGTTTGGTTATATAAACGAAACGGTGCTCGCCAGGACTGTCCGCACTGACTGAGGAGCACTACAAAAAGGCTTATGCCGCTTTTCTGTTTCTGCTGCATTTGCGACCTCGAGACCTGACCAAGCCTTTTCACGAGGTGAGCCTGGCCCAGCAGATGAAAGATAAAAACCTCAGCCAGTGGATGTTCAACGATCGAGTGATGTTGGCCGTTCTGAGCACGGACTTCCTGAAGAAACAAATCGGGAAAGGAAGAGACGCGGACTTTTTCCGTTGCTTAGCCAACCTTTTGGAGGCTGGCTGTGGAGTAACCCTGAAAGCCTACATTTGCAGACTCTTCATGGAAATGAGAGCGCAGCCAGAGGCAAAGGCTAAAGATGAGGACGTGTCGGCTGATCTCATTGTCGTCCCTTCAATGCTTTCCCTCTTGAAGTCTGGGGGGAACTTCCTGGCGGTGTATGCTTCAGCAGCCTTGGTCAATCTCAGCAGCGGCAACCAGGCCGTGAAGATGATTCTTATGGGTCAAGGTATGGCCAAGACGGCTGTGCGGAATATTCAATCGAAGGATGATGACCTAAGTTACTACACGCTGATGCTCATGGTGAACCTCACCAAGGAGCCCCACAATCGAAGTGTTATTGCCAGTGCCGGTCTGATTCCCTTGCTCTATGATATTCTCACGTCATCCTATTCTCAAGTCCGACCTGCGAAAAAGCGGCAAACCATGCAGAGTGCTGCGTTAGGCAGTATTGCAAAGGAACGGTTGTTGACGCAAACATGTATAGTGGTTGGACAGTTCTGTAATGATGACCGCTTCCGTGAGCAATTCATCGCAGCTTGTCAGAACATGTAATTACTGTACTTTGATTGTTTCATTGGATTGTCTTCTAGCTTTCCTCTATATAAAGGTTAAGTAGTGGCAGAGCAAACAAAAGCTGGGTCAGCGGTTTTTTGAACGATTAAGCGTGTGGGTCCCGGAGCTTGTTTAGTTGACCTTAGCAGTTTGGCGGAAACCTTGGGGCTTGGTTTTGTGATGTTTTGTGTGTGAGGGCACTGCAAGAGAACCAACATTGTGCCTTGCCCGAGATTTGAGGACATGTATCCACACACTGTGAAGTGCCTCTTGTACATCTTTACGACGGTCAGCTTCGGCTCGTTCTTGTCATCCAAGACCATGTTTGCACTCAAGCAGCTTTGTGCCAGCCGGAATGACCAGAAGCATCACATCGGCACACATGCTATCCCACACTTGATCGACAGCTTGTCAGACAAAGAAGCTGAAAAGCCAACGGAGTGCATCTACCAATCGCTGTTGCTCCTGATTATGCTATCCGGCCTACAAACCAACACTGAGCTAATGTACAGAGAGGGGCTAATTCAAGTCTTAGAGGAGCTTGGCGAGCACTCTTCTGCCAAGCGCAGTGACGGCTTCCACAACCACGTTGGACAGCTCATGCAAAGCATGGGCGAGATAGCTGCAGCAGACAATAAGTAAAGCAGTGATAGCTCACTCAATCTGTAGCACTCGCCTGCCAAAGAAAAAGGATCTCTTCGGCATGCACGGCCCATCTAGCATCCAGCCACTCCAAGGGCTGTTCAACAAACTGCATTACGGCTCAGTGTTTAACGCAGAGGACCTTCACAACTGGTTTCTTCGGCGCTGGGCGGCGGTCTCAATGCCACGATAGAACGCACGGGCACGGTTCATTTCAAACCCGGTTGCTTATGCTTGCTCAACTCCGCCCAGGTTTGGCATGCCTTACTCGCGGATGCGACTGTTGTTTGGCAATCTGCATTGGAGAAGGCCCAGGAGATGCAAACAAGTTGGCCACATGTCCAGGATCTAGAAGTCAGGTAAGTAGCCCTAGGCTCATTTCGGTGCTGCAAAAGTATGGCTCGATGATATGGATTCCAAATGTGTCGGAACTCAAGCATTTGTACTTCTATGGTCTTAGTATGTTTTTGTAGTGTCCAGCAGAAAGGACGATGCAATTTGATTTGAGACCTGTGCCTGTGCAGAATATTCATTTAAGCACCAATACAGCACCTTTACATTGAAAAGATGTGGCAGTGTATGTAGTATCGTCCCTGATGCTTGTCACCTGCAACCTGCAGCCAATCCTGCCAGAGGGGTGAGGCTCGCAGTATTCTCCATGACAGCGGAGGTACAAAAGGCCTTGGAGTCGCTTGACAGACTTGCCCAAGCAGAACAAGATGCGCCTCCATCTGCTACTCAGTGCCGTAATGGAATGATATGCCTTGTTCATGCTCTTCAAAGAGAGGTGAACAAGACTGGGCTCACCTCTGGGTCTATTTCTTCAATATCTCAGCGTGTTGTCCAGCTTATGCAGCAGCACTTGGAAGACTCTGAGGTGCAACGCTGGGGCGCAGCAACTTTGGAAGAGCTTTTTCGAAGAACACCTGGACCTGGTCGCGCAGATCAGGACACAGCTGCCTGGGCAATGACTTTCCGCGATGCTATTTCAGCACTTGTTTCCGGCGCACAAGCAAGTCCAGCGGCAATCGATCTCCAGCGGCGCTGCTTCAGTGCTCTCATTTGCTTGCTCACAACAGATGATGAAGACGATGCCTTTGATGGCAGCATTCTTGCGAGCCATATGTTGGAGCATGAGGTGATGTCATTGGTAGCAGGTGCGATGCAGCTGCATGCCTTGTCTCCGTCCTTGCTGGAGTGCGCTGTGTCCCTAATCTCCAGCCTGGTGTTGGAAGGAGGCGACGTGGCTGCAGATGAAGCATTCCGAACTGGCTGTTTGAAGGCAACACTTTCCACTCTCGCGCGTACACTTGACAACTCTGAGAACGATGATCAATGGCAGGGGTCTTGTCTCGTTGCGGATGCGTCTTTACAGCAGACTTGCTTGCGAGCCCTTTGGTCTGTGTCAGAGTCTGGTGAGTTGGGAGTGACGGAGATTGCAGCTGACACTGGGCTGGAGTCAGTCATCTCCATCCTTTCCCAAGACGGCACGGCAGAGGTGCACAAGTGGTGTGCTAGTGTGCTTCAGTCCATGCTTGCGAAGGGAGGAAGCGATGGACTTCTTGCTGAATCTGTGATGCTTTTGAACGGTTCAGAGGTGCTCGTTGCTTCGATTGCACGCTATGTTGATCACCTCGATGTGATTGAACGATGTGCAGCTGCTTTGGCCACTCTTGCGGCGTATGGTCCTGATGCAGCGGTTTCTGTATTGGAAGCTGGAGGCCTTCGTGGCAATGTGGCAACTGAAAGCCACACATATTGTATAGTATAGTATTATATATATGTGTGTGTATGCACTATACAAGAGCCCAAGAGTTCTGAAGTTGCTTTCATTCTGTTGCACGGCTCATAGACTAAGACTACCACCACACCCAGTCACCCAGCACGGCTAAATGAATGTTGGGCGACACTCACCAGACCTTCGTGAGACTCCCAGCACGTCATTCTTGGACAGTTGCAAGAGAGTGACGCCAAGTTGACGCCAAGCTGAAACAATCAGAGCATGCGCTAAACAAAGGAAACTTACCGAACACTGGTGCTGTGAAAACTATGCCGTCACCTCCATCGTTGCTGCTGTTGCCTTTGTCGTTGTCGTTGTGCCGTGGCTGCTATGGTGTTCTCCGCGAGGAGCTCGGAGGGAGACGTGTTGAGGAGTCCACGATTGGAGCGAAAACTGCTTTAGCACTTGCAGAATGCCATTGTTCCAAACTCCCCGTCCACATTCAACCTGTCTTCTCATGCCATTGTTCAGGAGTGAGGGGTTGCAGAGGCTGCCAAATAGCATAGAGGGGTGCGTGTATGCCTTCCTGACTGACACAGGACACACTTCCGTTTTTTGGGCCATGACTGTTCAACATATATAAAACATTATACACGCTTTGCATGGCGTGTGGTGTAGTTCTTTTGCACGTTTGTGGGTAATTGTTGGTGGCTAGCCCAAAATGTTGTTGGGAGCAAAAGTGTCCAGTTGGGAGGCCTCAGTGCAGTTGAAGAAGCTGCAGGTGTCTATGGCTTGGATGGAGACTTGGGTCATTGGTATCATGCACTCCAGGAAGCAATTGAGCATTGTACAGATAGTGATGTCAGTCCAGCGCGGGAGGCTGAGACGACTGAAGACTCCAGCAGAATAGGGCTTTAATGGGCACCTGACACATGATTGTTTACAGCCGACACTTCCCGTCCAAAGTGACAAGCGACAAGTGGGGACAGGAACAACATGAAAAGCAAAGGGAAATGCCATTGCAAGATGATCATGTTCAGTTGTGCATAGAGAGACAGACACTTTCGGAGCTTGAATTTTGCGATGAGCTGTGTTGGTCAGTTGCGCAGGATCAAAAGAGGACAGCTGAGCGTGATGCCGTGAGGCGGGGTGATGTCCTGAGGAGAGGTGATGCCCTGAGGCGGGGATTGATTTAAGCTGTTCAAGCAGATAATTATTGGACGTAACGTTCTTGTCATGCAGTTGGTGCTTCTATAGTTGTGTGCTTTTGTTGGGTCCCTTTGTCTAATTGAATCAGTTTTCCAGTCAAGATCCAGTCAAGGCTGGAGCCTTTCGATCTTCAGCAGTGGCTGCCACAAGGAAGACATCGACCTTTCACCACGCCCATGGCTCAGGAGCAGGTTGAAGGATTAAGGCTTGCGATATCTTGCGATTATCATGGTGAACTGTTAGTTCGAGCCCCTGTCTCACACGAACACATGTTTACCACCAGGAGATTTTCGAGTGCTGTGACAGGTGCTGAATCTTTGGTTGCTTGGCTTTAGAGACTTGACATAGACTTGGGTCACCAGGTCCGCAGCGCCGCATGAAGTGATGAGAGAGCCATGCGCGGAGTGGTAGCGATCAAGACACATCAGACACAGGTATGACAGAAGATAGCCTTCAGGGCCTGGTCCTGGGTTCCATATCCTCTTCTGAAGATCTTAATGATGCGAGCAGCTTGGAGAACATTGATCACAATTTCACAAACGTGGAGAGTTCAGAGGAGGATTCCGATCCCGAAGAGATTGTGAAGCAAGACTTGCTGATCCACAAGTGGTGCCAGAAGCAGCTTGGAGATCTTTTGAGTAAACTCTCATTGGAGCCGGAAGCGGTGCCGTTTTTGGTTCCAGTTGACTGGGAGCGTCTTGGCTTATACGACTACCCAGAAGTTGTGCAAGACCCAATAGATTTGCATACAATTAGCAAGCGGTTGGACGCTTCTTTTTATCACGATGCTGATGATCTCATTGACCCAGACTTGATCTTCAGGGACATTGAGCAGTGTTGGGAGAACTGCCTTATGTATTTTGAACATGACCTTGACGTGGAGGTTGTCCAGATGGCTATGAAGATGTCATCCGTGGCAAAACGGATGGAAGAGAGGTTTTGGGCTGATCTCTCAGCATTCGAAGAATCGCTGGAGAAGAGGCCCTTAGCCACTCAGGTGGCGCTTGCAGCCACTCGAATGGGGGTTGCTGCAAAGAAAGTAGCCAAGAAGGGTCGCAAGACCGCTGTTTTTGCCAATGACATGGTGAAGTTTGCTGCAGATTGGTGGCAAGGAAAACGAAAAGAATCTCCATTCTGGAAGGACGAGAAAGACAGCTTGATTGGACTGATGTGGCCGCCTCGCTTCAAACGAGCCATCGCAGTGGTTCGCGAAACAGTTCGTAGAGTTCCCCTATCCTTGTTGAGTTCGGAGAAGGCCGTGCAGTCTTTTTTGAAGCCACTGGCCGAATCGATTTTAAGGACGGTGTCATCTTTGTCGATGCCATCTGGCGTTCAAGTCATCCATGACACCATTGGGGATATCAAGGGCGAGTGGATTCTGCCTGATAGCTATGAGCCACACTCACACGCTGAGAAGGTTCTTGTTTGGGCTCATGGAGGCGGTTTTGTTCTGTGCTCCCCAGCCACGCACCGGTTTTTCCTTGCACGCATCGTTGTGCATACTGGTGTCCCCACCTTTTGTGTGGATTTCCGCAAGCCACCACGCCACCCGTTTCCAGTTCCAAAGAACGACATACTCGAAGTCTACAAATCTATCCAAAAGCAAGGCTTTGCTGATGCCGTTTTCTTGGGTGGTGATAGTGCCGGAGGGAATTTGGTGCTTTCAGTCGCAAAGGAACTTGCCGAGTCAGAGTCCGACTCTGTCGAGACCCCACTTCCAGAAGGGCTGATTCTTTTGTCACCGTGGGTGGATTTGTCGGACACTACTGGTGACTCTTGGCACCAATATGCGGATGTAGATTACATTCCTTCAAAGCAGGCCGAGGTCATTGCAGGGATTTACGCTCAAGGCGTTCCATTGCGTGACGCTCGTGTCTCGCCAGGGCGATGCAGAACTTGGCCAGTTGGCTTCCCACGAACTTTGCTGGACTATGGAGGCTGCGAGGTCTTTCGCACACAGATTGAGAGACTGGCGGATAACATGATGCATCACGGCGTGGAGCTGGATGCCACCGTCGAGGACGGAATGGTTCATTGCTACCCACAGCTTGAGTACTTATGGGGGCCAGATCCGGATGGTCCGTTTGAGGCGTACTTTGAGCGGGTGTCGACTTTTATGGCAATGAAGTATTTTTAGACCTTAGCAGCCTTACCAAATCTCTCAAAGCAAAGCGTGTGTGGACGAAAAGGGTGCCGTTTGGCCGTTTGGCGTACGAAATTTCTCCGGTCGCCATGTACACGACAAGGGGCCGAGGGATGCCGAGGGATGTTGCTCCTGTCAGGTTACGCCGGCATTTGCAAGCACACCTGGTGACTGAGTCCGCAGCCTCTCGTTGAGTGGTCGTTTGAACAGCTGTGCTGTTCAGATTCCCAAGGTCAGAAGCGAAAGGTGGAAGCTTGTTGGAGCCTTTTCTATCCTTATATAACTTGCAAAGAGGATCAAAGAGCATCCAAGAGCGTTGTGAAAAAGGCAATTGGAAGAAGCACATGCAGCACATGCATTTGAGTGTGGTCATGCACTTATCCCTGAGCTCAACAATCTCAGGCTTTGGCTCTTGCCGTCCGTTCTGCAACAAAAGGTAGCTGCAGTGGGGGCTCCTGATTGCATGTCGTGGTTTGATGCCTTCATTGGTGGCAAATTGATTAATTACAGTTACAGGCCCTTTGGAAAGATGTCCGGCAACAGCTGCTGTCATCCGAAAAGGACTGCAATTCTTTGATTTCAGAATGAAAAAGGGAACGTATTGTGGCTAGCTAGCGCCTTTATGCATAGAGGTGGGCTCGCATGAAGTTGAGAGTGCCATGACACTGGCTGGCGCGTTTGTTTTGCACGTGCCAAAGTAGTCCGAAGTCTGTGTTTCAGCAGGCTTTGCGCTTGGGCAAGGCTGACCCGCCGGAGCCCCAGAACATTTGCACGACTCTTTATTCTTAATTGAAAGTATCTGAATCTGGCAACAGTTATCCAAAGGTGTAACTCATCAATGCGTCGCATTTGGTCCTGCGGAAGCTCGCCAAAGCACCTCCTGTAAATACCCAGTTCTGCGTCAGCACATTTCTTGTGTTGATAGTGCACTTTGCATCTCAATGACTTCTGCTGGAGAATGCGTCAACCAAATGCACCGCGAAAGGCTTCGCAACAAGCACCACTAAACAAGTAAATTCACCGCCTAGGCCTTTGCAGCCGCTAAGTTCCCGCGAAGGGGTTGTTCTGGTGTGATATTAGTTACTGGAGTACCTGGAGTCTGGAGTCCCCGCAAACATAACACAAATAGGAGAAACACTTCTCATTTGGCGAATGTTCCAAAGGAGTTGATGTGAGCGGCCAGAGTTGAGCCTCACAGGTCAGCACTGGCACAGGCACAGCAAAGTTGCGGTCAACGCTGCTAGTTTGGTGAGATAGCGTTTCTGGAACCTTTAGACAGAGGGCTCCTAGTAGGGCTCCTGTTTCAATCGTAGCTCCTTGCCGTAGGCTGCACGTTCGCTGCTGTCGGTTGCGGCGCTGTCAGTGGAGACAGCTGCTGGAGATGCTGAGGCAAGGCTAAACCATGGGCCTTCAGGGAAACATGCAGATAAAGACTGCTTTTCACAGCTGTTGAAAGAGCTCGTGTCCAAAGCAAGTCCGTTCAAGCGACGTCCGCGTGTCCAACCGTCCTGTCTTTCAGGCAGCTTTAAGGGCCTTGGCACGTTTATCTGCAGGCATGGGGCCTGGAGTGTGTGAAGGTGTGGTTTGTAAATTTCACTGGGAAAGGTTACTTTTGTTGCTAGGTCACTCTGAAGAGCTGTGCTCAACACTCTCAGATGTCACACGCCTAAAGACTGACATGCTTGAGTCACAAGGAATTTCTGCATGTGTGGAATTTGTTTTTGTTATGCTGCTCCATAAGCTGTCAAGGCCTTGCCTGTTCTGTTGTGGCTGGTTCTGGCCCGAGGGTTTTGTCGAGATGGGTTTCTGTGTGAAGCCAGCAAGCAAAGGCCAGTGAAGACATGGCATGCCATGTTTGCACACCTTGAGTAGTATTGCTTGACGATTGAGGTAGATGTCACCGGTGCAACTGGGAGGCTAGGTTGGACGCAAGCAGCATCCACGTTTGGTTACAGTTTGGTTGCGCACCCATGGGTACTGCCAGCGCCGAGCAAACCGCGCCGCCGCCGCCTGGCAGCTGTGGTAAGCGATGCAGTAGCTTCAATATGAATCCGACAAACATGGACACGCACAAAGTATGACAGGCAATAATGTACATTCACAATGTCTTCTCAACATTTGTGAACTTGAACGAATGTCACGGACAACGATTTGGCCAGCGTGGCAAGTTGGCGACTAGCAATGGCACAGAATGGCACGCAAGTATGCCCGTGAACAACCCGATCCCCACGAGATTGATTTATACGAGAAGCTTCTTTCGCGCAGCTGCCTTAGATGTCTTAGACTCTTAGACTTTGTCAATCAGAGTCATTCTAGGCTGGAGATCTCCAGAGCATCCACTTTTTTCAAGCAAAAGCCGGGTTTTGGTGTGTTCTTTGCAAAGAGTGAGGTGAAGGATTGGCCTGTGGTGTGTTGGATCCAGACTTTGCAGATCCATTGGATGGGAAATTGACTTTGGAGAGGGGGTTTCGCTACACTTTGCAGCTGGATTGTGAGGATGAGTCCTTAAATCTTTGTCGTGTAGTTGGTTCCATGCGCTGTGAGCCACGGGATGGTGTGAGCGGCTTTGGTTTTGCGCTTCTGGAAGCAGATCTGCCCGGGCAAAAGGGTTCTTCTCAGGAGATCCGTGTTTTAGTCTTTGCAGAGGAATGCAATCGCAACGCCCTACTGGCCTTGTTGGAGCATTTGACCGACCATCGATCCTTCCGGCGACGTGGCGCCTCGTTGCTGGCGTGGCTCCCCACCGGCTGCATGGCGGGTTGCCTCTCTGGGTGCGTGGGACGTGGGAAGGCACCAGGCCTCCCGCATGAGTTCTCCGATAATTCGCCTAGGCTTCGGTCAGAATCTTCCTTCGCCCGACACCGCCCAGAGAAGGAAGCGGCCAGTGCACACTTAGAGGGGCTGAAGGCTTATGCCCGACAACTGTGGGATAGGCAGACGGTCACTGGATCCCTACGCAGCTTGATTCAAGGAGTGTTGAGTACTGTACACATGTTTATATATTCAGTTCAAAAGTTCTATTTGTCTATCTATCTATATCTCTATCTATCTATCCATCCATCCATCCATCCATGCATCCATGCATGCATCCATCCATGCATCCATCCATGCATCCATCCATGCATCCATGCATCCATCCATCCATCCATCCATCCATCCATCCATCCATCCATCTATATGAACATATATCAACACTCCTTGGGAGTCAGTTTCTTTGTGTTCTCAGTCAGGCAAGAGTGGCAGCCTTGGCGATCTCTCAACGGCTCTCAGGCAGTGCGCTTCACAGCTTTCGAAGAGATAGCTTCCTCCGGTGAGAGTGTGCAGTGAAGCCAAAGATGAGGTACAGCCGCAGGAAGGAGACAAAGGACACGAAAGAAAGTAAAGATACCAAAGAAGCAAGGAGCTCTACCCCAGTACAGCCCTGAGCAGAGTGAGGGCTCCTTCGTCAGAGATTCTGATGAGTAGGGTCGTGGATTTACGATGTTTTTTTGCGTTGAGCAGTGTCGTGAAAAGCTAATTATATACATACATGTGTACTGTAGATATGTATATATATATATACATGCCCTACTGTAAGGCAGGTAAAGACAAAGACAATAAACTGCCGGCGAATGACTGTGCAGTGCTGCTACACAGGCGCCAGTGCAAGTGACTAACAAAGGAGAGAGAGTGTGGTGAGGTCTCTGAGTGTCATGCTGTTTCACACTTCTGGCGACTTCAGGCTGCTTCTGGAAATGGATCCCTCCGGGGATGGTCAGGCAGGGTCAAGATGCAGTTGAAGGATTGAGGCTTTGCAGTGTGACTCAGCCGAATCCAGCCTCAGGCAGTGGCGGGATTCGAACTATTCCGACTCTCTACCAGCTTCGAAGAGTTTTGGGACGTTTTGCTCCTTGAGTTGCACATTTGAACCTACCTGGGAACAATCGAACACTTGCCATCCATCAATGGATGCATCTTCCTGGTAGACTACCTAATTTAGTTAGTTCATTTTTGTATAGATGCACATATTTGTTACATATATAACAATAATATATATAGTCCATAGTCTATCTACCAAAGGGAACTTCAAGCGGAGTTTCCTTAGTATTGGCTGCAGAGGTTGTCCTGAAAGGCGATTCTGTTCACTCCCATTTTAATTCCCCCGGTCCAGTTCGGTTGGACTTGTTTCCAGTCATCTACTCATCTCATTTGCCATTATGCCTCATTATTGCCCATTCTCCTTTCCCTCACGCGTTTCCCTCTATGCATCCTCGTGTTCATGCTCATGTTCATGCTGGTCTGGTGTGTCTGGTGTTTTGCTGCTGGAGTTTGCCAGTAGTTTGCTGCTGCTGGGCTGCCGGCTGGTCTGCTGGTGTGCTTGTTGTTTGCTATGGCTGCTGCTGATCTCTGCAAACCCTCTCCTGCCTAACCTACCTTTCGTTCACCTCCCTCCCCTTATATATATAAGTCATATATTAAATTACAAACATGAAAAAACAATAAATAAATAAATACATATTCACATTGACACTCGAGGCAGTCCATGCTCTTGATAGATGCCTTACTCGCAGAGCCCAAGCTCCAGAGCCGAAACCAGACAGCAGGGCAGCACGTGAACCGGAATTGAGTGAATGCAGGTGATTTTGAGAAAAGCAGCAGGGGAGGACATGCTGGCTGAGCTTCCTTGTTGTGACCAAGGATTTGGAGACACGGGCACCCCAGTGATGACTCTGGAAAAGTGGAGCTGGTTCCTGGTTCAGGTTCAGAATGAAGAGCGCCCCTAGCTTCAAGCAGCAGTGTGTGGTGGCTGTGTACATGCTTGTGCTTACATATTTGCAGAGTGCGGTGATGTGTGACACGATGTGTAACATGTGCGCGCGCTCGAAGATATGAACTTTGATGTATCGGTTTCTTTTTTCAATTATCTTCAACATCCGGTTGGACCTCAGGAGCTGTTGTTGAAGCTGCTGCCTCCCAGCTGAAGGCAATGGAGGAACCCTACGTTGACTCGGGGCAGCTCACCATTGCTGGGCTGTCCGTGAACCTTTGCGTGCAAAAGAACAGTGCCACCTGTCGGCTAAAGAGGCTGAAGCGGCGAGAGCCAACGTATTGGACGTTTTTAGGAAAAGCATGGAAAAGCATGAAGAAAACCTTGGAGTCACAATCTCCCATGCTCATACCCACGACTTGAGGCGATTC